AATGTGAAGGGGCGCCTGGGTGGCTCAGTCGTTAAGCGTCTGCCTTCAGCTCAGGTCATGATCCCAGGGTCCTGGGATCAAGCCCTGCATCGGGCTCCCTGCTCCGTGGGAAGCCTGCTTCTCCCTCTCCCATTCCCCCTGCTTGTGTTCCCTCTCTCGCTGTGTCTCTCTCTTTCAAATAAATAAAAAAATAAAAAATCTTAAAAAAAAAAAAGTTAAGTTCAATTTGAAAACCAGGAATACAATAGCTGTTTTTTCCTATTAAAACTGAGACTGGTTTTATGTGATGAACCCTCTTAAGAATGATCTTTAGAAAACACTTGGCCACTTATAAAAACTTAATGTATTTTTTGTCCTCAACAAAAACACAAGATGATCTCTTCCAGTTATGTGACAGCAAAAACAAGTTCTTCAGGAGAGGTGAATTTTGGCATACCCTCAGCCACAGAGAACTAACCGATCACTTCTCAGAAGCAATTTATTGTGCTATTCTATATTTCAGAGTAAAGCTCTAAACATTCCAAATAAGATACCCCTTTCTTTCCATTCTTACACGAGGAACAGGCCAACAACCAAACAGAGCAGTAACTGCTCCCTGGTTAAGTTGAAAGGAAAGGAAAACTGGACTCAGAATTCACTTTCAGTTTTTATTTCTAAGTTTTAAGACTATAACAGATTATCAGCAGCTGTTACTGTTTATCTTCTGGCACCCACATTGGAAGGAAAAAATGTTAAAACATTTATAGTTTACAGCTAAACATTTTTTTCCTAGAGATCTTTGTCCTGCATCTTGTAAAAATTTCAGTTAGCTTGTTACTTCTCATGTTCTTAGGAAATATCGGGGGCAGGGAAAGGAGCACTGATCTGTCTCAGATTTTTATTCTGGACTCCTCACAATATTTTTATAGGTAGAATTTTTGTCACTTGACCTTGATGCACTGGATTCAAGAAAATGTCCTGCAGAGTGATTCCCTTTGAAGTGTCTCTCTCATTCATAGAGTGATGAGGAATAATGGAGGTCAGGATCCTCCCTTGACCTTTAAAAGGAGCACTCCAACTTAACAACAGTATGTAGTAGGTTTTGCATTATATTTCAAAGATGGTTCTAAGTTTTCTTTTTTGAAGTTCTGAAAATCACTGATGTTGGTACTTGATCCCTTTTATCCAGAAGAGGCAATTTGATAGAACTAAAGCCAGTTTCAAGACTACATAAAAACATGCTACTAATTCAATACAGTGCTGATTATGGAGCCCCAAAGCCTGTTCTCATAAACAGGGATGGGATGTGTTTGTGACATTTGGAATGTGAAATTTTGCTGTGATGCTGGGTTTTGTGTGAGCAGGGAAATGGTGCTTTGTTGCCATGGAAAATAGATATGATTACTTAAAACTGTCATCTCCTATAATTATTTGAGTTTTCACTTGAAATAACTCTGAAAGATGGAAAACAAAGTAGAGAAATTTAATCCAGTAAAGCTTCCAGACATGAACTTTTTGGATAATGTTTTGCAAAAGAGATACCTAGGCCATTAGTATGTAAATGAAAGAAGTTATGGGTCATATAATCTCTTACATTACAGACATTACAAAAGGAGCATTTTCAAACAACTGTTTAGTCATCCAAAATCTAACCATAGGAGCTATCATTCCTCTGCATTTATGAAAAATGAATGATCTGATGGCTTGATTTTTAAAAAACGATGGTAGTGTACTTTTACATTCCAGTTCATCAATGGAGAGTGAGTAGAACAGTCTCAACTATCATTTTACTTTGCATTAATTCCCCTTTCACTTCCCTCTTATAGAGGGGGAAAAAATATGAATAAAGCCTACCTTTGACCCTGAGAAACAAACTGAGGGTTCTAGAGGGGAAGGGGGTGGGAGGATGGGTTAGCCTGGTGATGGGTATTAAAGAGGGCATGTTCTGCATGGAGCACTGGATGTTGTGCACAAACAATGAATCATGGAACACTACATCTAAAACTAATGATGTAATGTATGGTGACTAACATAACATAATAAAATAAAATTTAAAAAAAAAAAAGCCCACCTTTGGTCCTCGAATAGCAATTCCAGGTTCTCCTTTAAATCCAGGCAGCCCCGGTCCTCCTCTATCTCCCTGCACATTTCAAATAATGTTCAGTTTCAGGTCTTAGATGACAGGAGAAACCATAATAGCACGAAACACAAAAGAGATGGACCAATTTATAAAGGGTTTAATCTATCAGTCTCAGATCTGGAGGTAGTCGCTTCTTCTAATATATTTGAGGGGGATTTCAAATCCCAAGCAAATAAAACCTGTCAGTAAGGACCATGACAGCAGTTTATAGAAAGGCCACTGAAACAGGCGGCTATCTAGACTCAAATATTTAGACTGTAAGAATGCCTGGGAATGCTCTTAAATCTGAGCAGTTTTCTTTTCTGCCAGACTTTCTGATTATTAATCCTACCGGATTCTTCTGAATAAACACAATAAATTTTTACCTGCGTTAGGGTCTAGGATTTGGTGGAGGTAGTTCATGGTGAAGTGACAAGTTCAAGACCAGGAGCAAGAAATCTGATTTCTAATCTTAAATTTCCTGCTAGCCTTTAGTTTGCTTAATTGTGAAATGTCAGGGTTGAACCAGATAATATCTTGGGCTTCTTCCAAAACTGAAATTCTAGTTCACTGGTATCATGAATTTTTTCCCCACACCAACTGCCAAAGATCCAAGTTATAAATCAGTCAACCAATCATTCATTCATTCATTCATTCACTTCCAAGAATGCATACCTTTGGCCCAGGTGGTCCAGGAATTGATGCTCCAGGCATCCCAAAAGGGCCCATAATTCCTGGTTCACCCTAAGAAAAGAGCAAAATATTCATTACATTACAAGCAAAGAAACCATATATAGGAATTATATTAGGAAAAACACAGAAATGTATTCCCAGCATTTCAAAATATTATGACCTGCTTCACAAACCAATGTGAAAATATTTGAACATTTTTGCTAAACTACTACTAAAGTTTTTGATGACTAAGATTTCAGGGCCTTTAATAAATGCATTCAATTAGTTTCTGAATATTTGGGAACTTTTATCTCTTGTGCGTTCTTTTATTAGCTAATAAAAATTATGCAATTCATGGTGCTTTCCTTTTGTATTGCATGCCAGGAAGCTCAGAGGAAAATGTTTGTTCAATTACAACAATTTTCTTCAACAAAAGTTCTTGGGTATACTTGGTAGGTAAATAATGTTCCCTGTAGTTCCTTCTAACTTTTTCCTTTGTTATTTTATGTCCCATGGTATATCAGTCTTCTATTGTATCCTAGTTCACATCCCTTTTTAGAAGTAGGAGTTTATGGTAAAAACAATGGAATTTTGAATAGAAAATTTAACACATCTTTTTTTTTTTTTTGGTCTCAATATTGAATCTCAATAAAGACTCAAGCAATATCTCTGTCCCATCTGGCTCTAGACCAGTGATCCTCAAATCATCAGAGGAATTTGATAAAATACAGAGTCAGGTCTCAGCCCCAGAGATTTTAATTCAATAGATCTAGGGGCTGGGCCCAGGAATAGGAGTTTTATGAGGCCCCCTGGGAGGTCTGATATAAGTACAATTACCTCATTTAAAGACACTATGCAAAGCAATTGTCATTAAAAGAAGGTGCACACACCCCACCAGGTGTTCAAAATGACCCATATGGGATACTAGAAGAAAATATTAGGGCTTCATTATAAATTTTTATCTTTTAATTTTTCAATTATTTATGTAAATTTCACAGCATATTAATATACTTTATGAGTAAACACTACAATTGAAGAATAAACCTATATTGAAGTGTGGTCAAATTTGTTTTGACTAGTAGGGATTTGTTATCAATCAGTTTGGAAACTACTGGTGTAGGACAGGTGTGGCAGACTGCGACCATCAGGCCGAATATGGCCTGCTGCCAGGTTTCACACAGCCGTGGGCTAAAAACGGTTTTCATGTTTTGTTTTGTTTTTTAAGTAGGCTCCATACCCAATGTGAGCCTTGAACTCATGACCTTGAGATCATACTCTAGGTCTGATACTCTACCAACTGAGCCAGCCAGGAGCCCCGATTTTCACATTTTTAAATGATTGTTATTTAAGTGACGACATAATACTCTCAATTTTGCCCCTTGGCCACAAGGCCTGAAATATTTACTACCTGTGCCTTTCCAAGAAATGTGCCTCCCCCTGCCTTAGAGACTGAACTGTCTTCAGTGGTGGGAGCTGCCCACTTGGCCCCCCTGTTTCCTCCGGGAGGGACTCCATCAATCAGATTCACCACTAATGACTCTTGCCCTGGACCACAGTCGCCTTCACAGCTGAGGCCTCCCACTGTGCTGATCACCCAGTACGACCCAAGGCTGAGCACACCAGCCCACTGGGGCCCAGCTCATGCCACACATGTACATGCCAAATCTTTAATTCCAACCCATACGGCAATGACACATGACACAGTCGGGATTCTGGCAACAGATAACCACCTGATTCAATCCCATGGCAAAGGAATAAAATATCAACCTGTTAAAATTCTCACTAAACCAGGGTAAGCAAAATTATGCTTCTAGATTTCCTCTATTCTATTCTTTTTTTAAAAAAAGTCAATTACTTTTAAAATACAAAATTATACATGTAGATAGTATGTAATTCTTTTAAAGACCCTGTATTAAATTGTGATTATGCTTTAAAATATGGCAGTTCTTCATCAAAAAAGCTGTATTTCAAAATACAGAAAAGTACTCTTTGAAGAACAGAGTAAGATATAAGGAAAAACCATTGTTATTAATACTAATATAACACTTTCCTTATATAGTGGCCTTTTTCATCATGTGCTCCTTGAATTACCTGTAGCATAGGGCACTTATTTAAGAAACGAAGATTTCTAGGACCCACCCACTTACTAAAAAATCCCGCTGTCTGGGCATGGCGCCAAGAAATACAGATTTGTAACAAGCTCCCAGGTGATACTGATGGACACTGAAGCTTAATGACTTGTCGACAGAGGATGATTTGTTTTCTACCTGCTTTTATCTTGCCGGTACCGTTTTTGTGTGTTTGTTTCTTTAAAGGTCTGGTCCTTCAATGTACTCCCTGCCTCCTTACAATTAGCATCTTCCTAGAAGCTTGAACTCTCTTAGGTTTGCAATTTCTGTTTCCTGACACATCCAAATGACCTCAATATTCACTCCTGCTAAGTCAGGACACACACCTGATTGCCTGTCTCGCAATTTCCTTTACTTCATCCTCAGCATCTGGTCCTGGTCAGTTTATCAGGTCATATATCCCCTACTTGCCATTGCACAGTATTGATTTTTTTCTCTCTGAATAGCTCCATGTACTGAGCACTTACTATGTCCCAGGAACAGTGCTCAGTGCTTTATTAACTCTTTCAGTCTTCACAGCAATCCTGGGAAAGAGATACTATTATTGCTTTCTATGATTAAAATGACTGGCTCCAAAAGGTTCTGGGTAGAGCAGGATGAGAATCCTACACTCCTGCATTCTGAAGCCCTGCTCCTCATCATCCCTGTGTTACCTCTCTGTCTGGAACCATGTTGTTCAGCAAAACAAGATGGAAGAGAATTGGTATCTCCTACAGTGCTAACTCTATCCCAACTTCTGAATATTTGGTGGTCACTTGAGAGAATGGACATACAGATTGTCTCTAAGAATCATAAATGCTCCAAAGAAGATCACATATTTTATGGACTCTTCATTCCATCCTATTTCACCCAGAATAGCATGTTTTCTAAAGCCTTTTTCATTTGGATTTGTTGAGAAGGAACCAGGGAATCTAACTTGCAGTGGAAATTTAATATTCTATTAAAACCAGACACAATCTCCCCAAAGTATAAATGAGAATATAAGAAACATACCTTTGGCCCTTCGGGCCCTGGAAATCCCCTCTGTCCTTGATTTCCTTTGCTCCCTTTCCTTCCTTCATCACCCTGACAAAATAATTATAAAAATACAGTTGTATGAACAAACCCTCCTTGTTCTGACAACAACCCTATCAGGACCATGTTCTCAACTAACACTGATTTTCAAGCAATGTATCCTAAGTCCAGCTCAGTTTGTATAAGATTTGCCGATATTCTTGAGCAGACTGGGTGACTTCAGAATTGTTCAGTCTTTACCACTTATTCAATATGATTTGATGTTTTTTAAATCTAAGTTCAGTATCTCTCTTTGGGGACTTTAATTGGAATTCATAGTTCTTTGGCAGCATTGGTTTATTAACAGATGCTTCTGAGACATCTGCGGTTTCAGAAAAGACAGCTAGCTACCTGTGCTTTTTCAGCTTTAATGCTGCTTGAGTTTTAAAACATAAAATGAGATATTTTCCAAGATAGGGAACAAACGGATGGTTGCCAGAAGGGAGGTGGGTGGAAGGATGGGTGAACTGGGTGAACTAGGTGAAAGGGATGAAGAGTACACGTATCTTGAGCACTGAGAAATGTATAGAATTGTTGGACCATTATATTGTACCCCCGAAACTAATAAAACACTGTATATTCATTTAAGAAAAATTTTCTTAATTTTACATCCATAGATTGTAACGGTGGCAACAAGAAGTGAAGCATGAAATAGCTAGCTATATAGTTACCACTAAAAAATCCCCAGGTTTTTCAAATCCAGCCCCATTTCTTCCTCAACAAGGAATCTAGTTCTGTCTCCCAAATGAGACTGGTAATTCTATAGGCAGAGAGACGCATGAGCATTAACCTGGAGCAGAGTAAGAAACTGCCGACTGGCTGTTCCTCAGCCTGGTTGTGTACTGCCGAATGGCTGTTCCTCAGCCTGGCTGTGTAAGCTGGTACTTCCCTGAAGGAATTTTGTTACATTCAACCAGAGCCCTCAGAGTGTTACAACTAGGGCTCAACTAGGGCTCAACTGCAAGGTACCATATCCAAATGTGGCTCAACGAAGGAATAACTTTCAAGTTATTCTGGGGGTTTGCAGCTGAGGGCATTGAAACATTTATGACATAAATGACTCTACCACCATTTTCAAACCTAAGCGTGCATCAGAATCACGTGGAGGGCTTGTTAGCCCACAGATTGCTGAGCCCCACATTCAGAGTTTCTGATTTAGTAGGTCTGCATTGAGATCCAAGAATTCACATTTCTGACATATTCCCAAGGTCATCAGAAATGCAGACACTCCCTCAAGAAGAGGTGAATTCCTACCGCATCTATAGATTGTAATTAACTCCCAAGGTCCAAACTAATGAAGAGCAGTGACACAGGTGATAAAAAAATAAAACATAACAGTTGAATGTTATTATATCCTTAACTTATCATATCATTATCATTTGCCAGCAGAGGCAAAATCTAACCCCAACTAGTTATTTTCTTCCATTTACTCCCAAATTTAATTTACTGCCCTAAATAACCCAGAAGACAACAGTAGGAGCCCAGTGAAAGGTAATAAAGTGCCAACACTGAACCGTAGCATGTCTGGGCTATGTAACAGATTCCTACCTCTCTTCTCCCTAAACTTCCATAAGCCACAGAACCCCTCAGAGCTACAAATCCAGTGCCCTCTCTTTCCAATGCATTCTGCTCGCTCTATAGGTAGTATTTGACACCACTGATTGTTTCCTCTTGAAACCCTGTCACCTTAGTTTCCCTAACACAGTAACTATTCTGCTTATCTTCATGCTGGTCTGAATGTTCTTTCTCCAACTACTGCACAATGTAGGATTCAAACCTCAGCTCTTTCCCAGAGACATCATTCATTCTTCCAGCTTCAATTATTATCTCCAAGGGTCTAGTTTCCAAAAGTATCTTCTAGAAAACTTCTGTTCTCCTGAATGTTAATAGACAAGCATTTCTTTTTTTTTTTTAAGATTTTATTTATTTATTTGAGAGAGAGAATGAGATAGAGACAGAGAGAGCATGAGAGGGGGGAAGGTCAGAGGGAGAAGCAGACTCCCTGCTGAGCAGGGAGCCCAATGCGGGACTCGATCCCGGGACTCCAGGATCATGACCTGAGCTGAAGGCAGTCACTTAACCAACTGAGCCACTCAGGCGCCCAATAGACAAGCATTTCTAAAAGTATTTTTTTGGGGGGTTGTGAAAAAGGTATTCTCTGTCCAGGTTCACAAAAAAATAAAAAGAGAGAGAGAAAGAGATCTCATAGTCTGATATACCAATAAATTAAAACGTTTGAAATTCTGCAAATAATTTAAATGTCAAATTCTCACATTTAAGGTTAAGGACTCAATTTTAGCCAATATTTGCACAAGACGTAGACTTCTTAAGCTTTCACTGACCATTTTAACGCAATTAGAACACTAATAAATATACAGATTTTATTTTTACTTTACTCATATGTAATTCTCCAGAGTCTTTATATGTACACTGATGACTGTACATAAAAACTGCAGGAACATCTGGCATCTTAGAGGCCGTAGGTTATGTCACTTAGTGGTCTTATTGATGAATTTGGATATTCTCATCTTTATAAAGATGTTACTCAACCAGCATTTCTACAATGTGTAAGATAAATGTGTGCCAAGTTGTGAAAATGAAACCTCCATTTGATAAGTGGTATTTCTTTCTTACAGTGTGAGATACTATAAGTATTTGAAGAAAATGTATGGACTTTCAAGTCTCAACGATGTATCTCAAGGCTTCTTTTCTATGTGTTTTAAAATGTCAGTCTGACCATTTATTGAGAAAACATGTGTTGAACTCTGCCTAGTAGCCGGCTCTTATGATAGATCTTAGGAAAATAAAAATGAATAATACATACTTCCTGTCTTCCAAAAACACACACACTGGAGCCATAATTTTCAGCCAGAAGTAAACACATTTGACATAGCAAAAGTAACAACCAAATTTCTCCTAAACTGTCTCGTTGGGCAGTCTGCTTTCCCCAACACCTTGTCAGTTCCATACCTTGGGGCCAGGTTGTCCTTTTCCAGGCGGTCCTTCTGGGCCTCTTGTTCCTGGAAGCCCTGCTTCTCCCTAGAGGAAATGACACTTATGTCTTAGCTAACCCTGCATGGACAGTTTGTATAAGCCCACCTTGTCTCCTTTTATGGCCAGTGGATTCTCTGCTGAGACCCTCCAGAATAATAGTCTTAAAATTAATTTGGGAGTTTACCAACTTTAATAAATTCAAATCAAACTCTAGTTGAGCTCAGAGCAGCTGAAATAGGAAAAAGTCCAATTTCTCCGCCAATTTTCAAAGAATAAGCTCACTTTCCTTTGGCTCTTCATTCACATTTGATGGTTTGGTAAAAAATACAAGAAAGACCTTCAGCCTTTCCATCTGCTGTTTTTCTCTACTTATCTAGAAAAATGAATGTTTCAAATGTCAACTCATAATACTTCAAAAACTCTTTATAATTACTTCCTGAATGCATTTACAGACTCTCTTGTTGGAGGGGAAAAAGTGTTTGCCTCAAAGTTTCATTTCAGGTGCTTTCTAGGAATCCAAAGGGACTAGGTCACTGGGGGACACCATGGTTGAAATGCCAGAGAGAAAGCAGAGAGCATGAGACACTATCCAGCCAATAAACTGGCACTCTTTCTATCTAAAGTAAGTGAAAAAGGAAATTGAGAGTTGTGAGACATTTACCTAAAATGACTAAGTTTGTCCTGGATGGTTTAATTTGAGGTCCTATAGCACCAAGGTATCAGTGTGATTCAATAGTTTTTACTCCAGTAAACATAAAAAAGTGTTACCTTCTTCCCTGCAGCTCCATCCTCTCCTGGAAATCCTGGTTGTCCTGGGAGCCCTATTGAGCCTGGCTCCCCCTGGTGGATAAGCAAAGATTTTATTTCCCAGAAATTCATATTTATCTATAAGTATTATATTTATCCTAATTTAAATTCATACTTATGCACAACCATTTTGAGGTACTTGCCAACAAGGTGTATCTTACAGTATTTGCAACAAGCCTCGGAGTGGAGAAATCTAAGTAGTAGCTAGTAGTAATGAAATTCTCTGACCTTGGGCAAGTTACTTAACTTCTTTGGATCTCAGTTTTGGATTCTTTTGTTATGGGTTGAACTGAAACCTCAAAAACTGGATGTTGAAGTCCTATCCCCTCGTTCCTGTGAATGTAACCTCATTTGGAAATAGGGTCTTTGTAGACATAACCGAGTTAAGATGAGGTGATGAGGGGGGGCCCTACTTCAACATGACGGCGGTCCTCTGTCCTTGTAAGAAGCAAATGCCATGTAAAGACAGACACCTGGGGGGTGGGGGGACTCCATGTGACGGCAGAGGCAGAGATCGCAGCGGTGCGGCTACAAGCCGTGGAATGCCAAGCACGGGCAGCCAGCACCAGAAGCTAAGAAGGGGCAAGGAAGGATTCTTCCCTACAGGTTTTAGAGAAAACATGACCCTGCAGACACTTTGATTTTCCACTTCCTCTAGAATTGTGACATAATGAATATCTGTTGTGTTGAACGTTTGTGGTTCTTTGTTACAGCAACCCCAAGAAACTAACATGGAAGTGAAATGTCAGCTCTAATACTCAATAATGCTACTTGCTTTCAAGTCTGTTTGTACTTAAGAATATGCCCTTTAAAATGTTCAGAGATAATATGTGCTACTTTCAAATAATGCCAAAGTATTCTTACTGCATTTAAGAGCAAAAATATTAAAGATAAGTGAAAGTCATTTCACCTAAACTCAACTAAAAAAACAAAACAAAACAAAAAACTAGTGAAAATAAAAGAACAGTAAACCTAAAAATAAGTAGAGGGATATGGTAAAGATGAGAGCAGACAGCAATAAATTTGAAAATCAAAAGTTAAGGAAAGTAACAAAACTAAATAATACCTTTAAAAAACTAATAAAATAAATAAACCTCTAACAGGAATTACTAACACTAAAAAAGAAAACTCTATTAAGAATTAATAATTAAAGATAAACACTATTAAGAATTAAAGGGAAATATAACTATATACATAGTAAAGATTTTTTTAAAATCATAGAAAATTTCCATGACAATTTCAAACAAATATATTGGAGAACATTAATAAATAACTTTTAAGAAAAATATAAATTACTTAAATGACATAAGGAGAAGTGGACAAGCTAAATAAACCAGAAGCATTAAAAAATTGAATCAGCAATTGCAAGTCTCTAATTTCCTCTCCTTCCAAGATCACAGGCTCTGCTGGTTTTACAGGCAAGCCTTACAAATTCTTTATCCTTTGAAGAACAGGTATTCCCTATCTTATACAAATAGTTCTGAAAGACAGTAAAAGAGGGAATTCTACCCAATTTATTTCATGAGGCTAATAAAACCTTAATTAAAGTCATACAATAATAGGACAAGGAAACTACATTGTAGACCAGACTACCTATGAATGTAGATATCATGTAAGTTTCCAGTCAAATGGAGGAATAGGGACCAGATTTAATTTCCGCCCTGACATAGCTAAAAAACAGACAAAATATATAAAACAATACCTTTCAAGATATTAGACACCAAATAATGAAGGATAATAATAACTGGGGGCAGGGAAACAAATCAGGTGAATACTGTAATTTCCCCAGTTTGCTGCCTGGGTAGAGTTTCCAGGCCACGGTGTAGGGAGAGGGAACCCAGGGAAGGTTCAGAAATCTCTCTAATTTAAGGAGACAAAGGTAGGAGTCTAGGTAAGCTGGGTATCAAAAATTCACAGAATTGATTACCTGATAGGAAGAAGGTACACAGAGAGAACGATGAAGCTCTGATGAGTATCCCCCTCGTGTAGTCAAATAAATACTGTTCAGCACAGTGTGAAGAAACTACCCAATGCCCAGAAAACAACCAATTTAAAGAATTAGAGAGAACTGGCAGCAGGCCAGAAATAGTGCCTGCTTCCAGTGGCAAGAAAGGAAATCTCAGAATTCTGAGGGCATAGATTAGAGTTCTTAAAAACGTCTTGCTTCAGTAGTCAAGAAAAACGAACCCTACACTAAACGCTCCTACCTAAGAAAGCTTAAAAGCAAGACCAAGAGGTACAAGCTGTTTTCAAATGACTTAGAAGAACCCAGGAACAGGATATGTATAGAAATACAAACTTATGTGTAGGAATACAAAAATGTCTAGCCCCCAAAAAAGGCAAAATTCACAAAGTTTGGCATCTAGCCAAAAATTATCAGGAATTTAAAGAAACTGGAAGAAAATTACCAAGAAAATGACAGAGATGATAGAATAGTAGATAAGGACCCTAAAAGTTATTATACTGCATTCCATATGTTCCATATATTCAAGAAACCAGACGAAGGTTGAGATACATTAAATAGAGCCACGAAGTTATAGAAAGATACGAATTGAACTTCTAGAGTTGAAAATTGCAAAGTATGAGATAAACCATACCCTGGATAAAATTAACAGCAAGTTAGACATCACAGCAGATTAATGAACTGAGAAACATAGCAATAAAAACTATCTAAAGTGAAACATAGAGAAAAGAGACCAAAAAGGAATGAGTAGAGCATCAGTGAAGCAGCCAAATTTAAGTAACATGGAGTTGCTTGGGTGAAGGCAGAGAGTGGGAAATATTTCAAGAAACAATGGCCTAGTATTCCAAATTTGATGAAATCAATAACCCACAGATCCAAGAAAATCAATGAACCCTGAGCACAAGAAATACGAAGAAAACAAAAGTAAGGCACATTATAATCACATGGCTCAAAACTAGTGATACAGAGAAAATCTCAAAGATAGCCAGACATGGCTACAAAAGAGACATGTAGAGAAATGAATGTGTAGATGCTAACATATTTCTCATCAGAAACAATGCAAGTGAGAAGACAGTGGAACAACATCTTGAACGTACTAAAAGAAAGAGAAAAAACAAAATAAAAACAGCCATCAACCCAGAATTCCATACCCAGTGAAAATATAGACAAAATAAAGAGTTTTTTGGACACTAACTTGGCAGTTTCTTGAAAAGCTAAATAGATACCTACCATATGACCCAGCCATTTCACTTCTAGGCATTTACCCAAGAAAAATGAAAGCTATGTCCATACAAAGGCATGTACATAATTGTTCATAATAGCCTTATAATACCCCAAAGCTGGGAACAACCAAATTTCCGTCAACATATGAATGGATGAACAAATGTCCATACAGTAGAATACTATTCAGCAATAAAAAGAACAATAAAAAAGAAGCTATTCCTCGTCGTTAAACGTGGGCCTCAAGGTAATTTTGCTGAGTAAAAGATAAGACAGAAAAAAAGGTTATATGACATATTATTCCATTTACATAAAATTCTAGGAAATGCAAATGAATCTATTATGACAGAGGGCAGACCGATAGTTACCAGAGATTGCAAAACAGATCAGTAGGCGAAGTTGGGGAGGGATGGAAGGATGGTATTACAAAGGGACACATAATAATTTGGTGTGTGGGGGGGAGATGATAGATACTTTAGTTATTTGGTTTTGCTGATGGTTTCAAGAACATATACATGTTTTATCAAAGTGTACACTTTAACCATGTGCTTTTATTTTATGTCAACCACATAATAAATAAAATTATTTAAAATGGATGCAAAAATCCTGAATAAAAGATTAGTCAATTAAATTACTATCATAAAAAAGTTGTATATCATGATCAGTTGGGTTTATCTCAAGAATGCTAGGATGGTTCAATGACTAAAAATTCTAGAAATGTAATACACCATGATGAACAGGTTAAAAGGGAAACATAAAACAATTATCTTAGTAGATGCAGAATCTGATAAAATCCAATATATATTGGATATATAAATCCATTTATAATTACTAAGAAACTCTTGGTACAATTCAAACAGAAGGTAATTATCTTAACCTAATAGAGATTGTCTAGCAAAAACCTACAGCAAATGTCACTCTTAAAATTGAAATTTTAGGGGCACCTGGGTGGCTCAGTTGCTTGTGTCTGCCCTTGGCTCAGGTCATGATCTTGGGGTCCTGGGATCAAGTGCCACTTTGGGCTCCCTGCTCAGTGGGGCATCTACTTGTCCCTCTGCCCTTCCTCTCTGATCGTACTTTCTCTCTCACTCCCTTTCTCTCAAATAAATAAATAAAATCTTGTTTTAAAACAGTGAAATTTTAGAAGCACTTCCTTTGAAGTCACTTCTTTTAAGCATTGCACTGGAGATCCTAACAGTGTAAAATTTTTAAAAACAAATAGGAGAAAGAACTAAAAAGAAATATATAAAAGAGTTTTTATTTTCATACAATATGATTATGTACACAGGGAATAAAAAAGCAAGAGTTTACAAACAATTAGAAATAATAAGAGATATTATCAGGTGCCTGAATACAAAAATGACATACCAAAACAAAACAAAACACCACCATGAACAAAATAATACTTCTCCTAATTGACCTGTAATAGCTAATTAAAATATATAGAAAAAAGAAAGCAATTCACAATTGCAAAAAATTTCTCCAATGTACCTTTTTAACTGAAAAACTAGAAGATCTTTATGGATAAAATGGCAAATATTTTCCTGAAATATTAGTTTTACACTACGGTTTGAAAGACTCAATATTTAATTGCAAGATTCAATGCAATCCCAATAGTATATCTCAATGGAGAAATTTTTTGCAATTGTGAATTGCTTTCTTTTTTCTACATATTTTAGTTAGCTATTACAGGTCAATTAGGAGGAGTATTATTTTGTTCATGGTGGTGTTTTATTCTGTCAAATTTGACAAGCCAATCCTAAAAGGAGTATGTTAGAATCAAGAGTAACCAGGAAAGAAGTTGAGAGTATTTTCCCTATTGATGATAAAACTTATTATAAATCTGTCATAATCAAGACAGAAGTAATAGCACTGAAAGATATAGACAAATGGAGCAGAATAGAGAGCTCAGGCACTGATCCTCACACAGAGAAGCTTGATGTACAACAGAGGTGGAATTACAAACCAGTGCAGCAAAGATGGACTATTCAGTAACCCATGCGGGGACATATGGTTGTCCATCTGGGGGAAAAAAAGATCGCTACATTGCACCACACACAAAAAGGAAACGGTAAGTGGACTAAAGACCTAAAGTTTAAAAGCATTGTCACATTTTGCTAGAAGGTTGGTGAACGGGCAGAACCATTTTACCCATTGTCCATTTTGGACAGGATCTTCCTGATACCAAAATTGAAAACTTGCCCATACCCTATGATCTTCCAATTCTATTTGTAGCATCTATCACCAACCAGTGAGAGAAACTTGTAGTCTGACTTACATAAGAGGAAACTCATAGAATGTTTATGGTAGCATTGTTGGCAAAGGCAAAAAATAGGAAGCAATTTAAATGTCAATTGATAGGAAAATGGATAAATTTTAAATGAGATATTTGTATACAATAGACTATCATAGAGCAATGAAAACAAATGAATTAAAGGTATATAAAAACAAGTAAGACATGAGGCTGAATATACATATGAGGCAGAATGATGCATTATGTAAAGTTCAAGAACACACAAAAGCTTTATGTGGTTTATGGATAAAAATATGTGGGAAAATTTTAAAAACTTCGAGAGAATGATAAATACCCAAGCCATGAAATTAGTTATGTCTGATGGGGGAGTGGATGGTCATGGGATGGACTAGCAGAGGCAGAAGCCTCTATCTATATCTGTAATGCTTCTTAGAAAAATAGCTAGAATAAATATGGCAAAATGTCAACATTTGATAAAGCTGGGCTGTGAAATACTTGGGTGGTCTTTGTATTATCCTCTATGCTATTGAGTATGCTTGAAATATTTCGTTTTCTAAAGTGAGAGAAGCTTAGGATCGCACATCTAGTTAATGGCGAAACTGGGATTTAGACTTAGGCAGTCTAACTGCTGAGCCTTACTACCCTACCATGTTGCTTCTCTGAAATTGGCACATGTATGACATCATGCATGTACATATGTATATGTACCCTGCATATACGTATGGTGACATGTATGTCATACTTGTACTTGGCATATTGTGTGGCACCTCGAAACCAACAAACGGCAGCTATTATTACTACTTACGTTAGTGATTGCTATTTACATTAGTATATTTTGTACTCATTGTAATTATATGTCCATGCATATGTAACATGTCTATTCTTCTAGACCCACATCTTACATATTGTAATACCCAAATACTCATAAGAATGACAACAATGTCAGCAGCAACAATGATGGAGCTGAACCCTCAGTGCGGCTTGCCAGATCCTATCTGACTTCAGGATTAGCTATAGAACTCGTGAAGGGTAGAGCAAGAATTCATTCATTTACTCAACACATTTATTGAGTACCCGCTTGTCCCCAGAACTGGGGATTCGATAATAAACGAGAAAAAAAGGAAACAAGGACCCTGTCGCAGGGGGGTAGCACGGTCCCATAGAAATAGAAAGCAAGCCGTATATGTCATTATAGCTCCTCTAGCAACCACATTTATTTACAAAGTTAAAAGACACAGGTGAAAATAATCCTAATAATGTATTTTACTTTACCTTAATATAGCTGAAATTGTATCATTTCAATATGTAATCAATCTGCAAAAGTACCAGGGATGTAGTTCACGTTCTTCGTGCCGAGCTCTGTAATCTAGTGTGTGTCTCACACTAACCACACATCTCACTTCACGCTCGCCACATGCCGCGCATTCAGTAACCAGGTGTGGCTGGAGTGTTGGGCACTGCATTTCTCAAGTGATTAGGAAGATGAAACGTAAGGCAGAAAACATGCCCGTTGAGGTGAAGGGGAACAGCAAAGGAAACAGCATGCTGAGGTATAAAATCAGTGGGTAGCGGGAGTGGGGGAGACATACTTTAGGTTGAGGGAACCACTTTCTGAGTAGGTAGCTTTGGAGCTGAGACCTGAAACGTGAGCCCGCCGCAAAACAAGACTAGGGAAGTACCGTTTGCTGAAATCCTACTGTCTAGGTGCTCTGTTTTCTAATATGCAGAAAAGAATGTTCTTAAAGAATCGCTCTGTGCCCAAAAAGGGCCTCTGATGCTAATAAATATACGAACAAAAACCAGATAGCAGTCCTTAAAATAAACTAAGATTTTTGGTTCTTCCTAAACAGTAAGAGTTACACTGAGCATCAGACCCTTTTCTGAATAAATACTCTCCTCTGATGAAATAACAGATGACACATTCATGATCTGTATTGAGTTTGGATATCAATGAAACTTTACATAATATGACACAAATTATCTAAACGCTTCTGATCGGCATGGTCAGCTCACCTTTGGGCCTTGTACGCCAACTCCCACTGGTCCTCTAGGACCCGTAGCTCCTGTCTGGCCTACTTCTCCCTAGTGAGGAAAGAGTATTTGAAGAGTATGTCACGGTAGCAGCAAAATAAAATATATTCCTTCCTTAAGAGCTAAGAGCTGTCTTGTATCAACAAAATAAGATAAAATCGAGCTTTGTGTGCTCAATTCATATATATGTGTTCAAATATATACATAGTGGATAGATGTTAATTATGTTATTAATATTAATACTCATGATATATTGTAATATAAAACCTGAAAATGTATTTTTAATATATATTATATTATTTCAATTTGTGTTTGTATATAATTCAAATATATATATATTTGCCTCAAATCCCTTCAGGTGGATGGAGTTTTATCAAATTTGGAATATGTAATGGTCTGGCTTAAAATATAGGCTAGGTAGGGGCGCCTGGGTGGCTCAGTCGGTTAAGCATCTTCCTTCAGCTCAGATCATGATCTCAGGGTCCTGGGATTGAGCCCCCTGTCAGGATCCCTGTTCAGCGGGAAGCCTGCTTCTCTCTCTCCCTCTGCCTCTCCCCCTGACTTGTGCTTTCTCTCTCTCTTTCTCTCTTTCTCTCTCTCAAATAAATAAATAAAATATAAAAAGATATATATATAGGCTACATAACATACTCAAAATGTGGAGAGCACCTGGAAGATAGGCAGTTAGATCCCATAACAACTAAAATTGACACATGAGAAGCCAGAATGACTGTGAATCAAGAACAATATCATAAGCAGAAAGAACAACCTGAGCTTCCAATGATAAACCCAAAGCAAAAATCTCAAGGACAGTAACTTTCTTCTGTCGAGCTGCTTCTCACATGCCAATCTCTAAGGAGTGTGCTGGAAGGTGACTACTCTCAGAGCAGTATTTATTTAACAATGATTAGTGATCATTTGAAGCAACAGTAAGGACAGCTAGTTAAATAAGAAGTGCCATGCCTCTCCCTAAGGGACAAATAATAGTTTTAATTTAGGACATAAAATGATTCCCACATTCATAGAAGATTTTTCTTTATTTCCGACTCCATATCTTTAATTAAATGTGTCAGGAGGTAGGCCTACTGTGGGAGTGTTGGTGAGAATGGATTAGCCAGCCCACAGGTAGCCTCTCCTGTTTGAGCCGCTAGAAGAGGATCTCTTGAGAAAAAGTCATAAAGAAAACAATAAATTAAGATTGCCAAAATAAATGCTTCTAAAAGTGTAAGGAATACATATTACATTAACTAAACCCTCAGGAATATCAGTACCATTTTACATTAAGTAGAAATCTGATTTTTAAGTTCATTTTATCTATTGCTTTCCCAATGCACTGGCTGCTGACCAGGAAATAGCAACTAGACTATAGATATATTAAACTCTGCTCTCATTCAGAAAGTTACCTTAGCACCAGGCAAGCCTTGTCCTGGAGGCCCTTGTGGACCAGGTGGACCCATAGGACCTTGGATTCCCTTTAAAATAAAATGTTTAAAAATAGCATTAGTGAAATTAAGAAATTCGGATAAAAGTAGTTTCATACCCCCTAAAGTGAAAATTTAATTCTCATCCTATCATATATTAGTCACACTCAGTATTTGTTGAATGGCATGGCAGAGGCTGCTAGTCAAACCATAATAGGCATTCTCCCCTTCTTCCATAGTAAGAGAATTGTAGCTGACCTGCGCAGCTGCCTAGATAACGACCACGTGCAGCCAGGTGTTGCCAGATGGACTGGATTTGGGCCAATGGGATACAAAAGGAAGTGACATGTGCAATTGCTGATTCATGATAAAGGAAGAGGCATGCCTTTCCCTCCCCTATTCCCCTTCCCCAGTGGCTGAAGTGAAGACACAGTGGCTATCCCGGATCATGTGGGTGAGGAAAGCACCCTGAGAAGGGCAGACTCCCAAGAATGAAGACGGAACCTCTGAAGACCCTGACGAACAGAGCCACCATGCCAGCTTGGAGTTCCAAATCAGAGAAATAAAATTGCTTCTTGTTAACCTATTTCACATTTCAGTCCCATGCAGGCAAACCTATATTCTAGCTGTCTCGGTCACATTATATCAGGATGTTAAATCAAAGGTTTTGACCTTAGGCTCTAAGAAGCAAGAGTCTGTGGACACCAAACTGAAGAATGTCCAAACACTAGATTCTCACTCACATTGTGGGTATAAAAAGGGGAAGGAGATAGAATTAATAAGTTCTTCTTTGGAGAAAGTAGTCTTATAAAGTGTTTTCTTTGAAGAACATGAGAGGGATTTGGGTTGCTTCTCTCTTTACTGCATTCTAGAAAGAGAGCTTCAGTGAAACCACTTGTTGACCTTGATTTTTGCCTTGGCAACACAAGGGACCTGTGTCTGACTCACACCTGGGAAGGCTAAAATGGTTGGTGATGGCCAAGAGAGGGCTGGGGTTGGATCAGCCTGTCTATCCAGAGTTGGTCAGCGCAAAGGCCGTGCAAGTTTTTTCTGTGGACCAGATGTACTCTAGGTGAGAGACAGGGTTAGCCTTGAATTGTTTGGAATCCTGTCCAAGAGGACCTGGAGGAGCAGTGGAATTCCAATAGAGAGAATCAGTATAGAATAAACCCCCAGAAAAGCAGAGGCTGATGGGGAGAAACAGCTGGAGGAAGAGAGTCCTTCATCCATGTCCCGAGAGTGGCAGTCACAGGGGCAAGGCAAGAGCCCCACAAGGAAACTCACTGTCAAACATCTGTCAAGACCAGAGGACCCAAACCACGTGACAATAGACCAGCCAAGAAAGAAACTCTGTGGCCTCCCTCTGACTCTCATCCTTGATTCGGCCTGGGAGGGATGAGAAGTACATTCCTTCCCGTGGACCACAGGTTCTCCCTATAGCTCATACCAGATAAATGAAGATTAAAAGGAAAGTTAATATAGTGACTAGATACTTTTTATTAGACAATTAAAACTGTGAGTTACAACTAAGAGCTGATACCATAACTTTTTATTACCTAAAAGTGATAAGAAGAGTTTGTAACTCATTGGTAATTTCTTCCTGCGGTAGGAAAAAGAAAAAACTTACCCCACTGAAAAATATTTAAAGGGTTGGTGAGGAAAAACTAAAATTTTGTTTTGCTTATACCCCACAATCCATGATTGTGTAAATAATGGTTACAGATACATGATTATTTTATTACAAATGGTATCCCCTTTTTTCCAGCTGAATGATACAATTGCTTGTTTATTTTTTAGTTATAAATATCATTTTTTTCTGGTTAATGAAGATGAAGCAGTCTAAACAGTTTAAGAAAGCTAAGGTTATTACAAGAAGGAATCATAATGTTGTTATTAGGAAGAATCTTTTACAGTTGTCTACAAGTAGTATGATATGCCACAAGGAACCAAAAATTCAAAGAGATCCATGCATATATGTGTGTGTATACACGTGTAAATGTGGTTATTTGTATTTGCACTCCAATTTATAACAGAGTTGAAGTGGTCAAGCCTCCAAACATTTCATGAAAATCTGCAGGCCTCTCGAGGCATATTATCAACATGTTCTTGAAAACAGGAGTTTCCCAAAAACAGATGAGTGGGGAAATTCATTTCTGTAAGAGAATTAGGAAGATCTAGTAACAACGGTAATTCAATGAGTAAACATGTCAAATTAAGGATAAGAAGAAAAATGAATAACTGTATAAATAGAGGTTACATTTAAGTAGGATTTAAATCATTTGTCTTAAAAGGTAAAACGAATTCCTTTTTTGTTCAAAGCAATTTACAAATGATGCATTCTATTCAATCTCCTATCCAGCGGGGGTCAGCTCCATATGGACACGTCTACCTTAAAAATGATTTTCTCTTGGAAATTTGGAGAGAAAGGGGTGAGAAAACAAAAGAAGTCAAAGAGAGTTTTTTAAGCTGAAGAACAACAACCCCCACCAAGAACCAGCATTAAAGGCAACAGGAAGTTGCAGGTGGGAGGTCCAGAATTCGCTGGCCACCTGGAAAGATTTGGCTTTCTTTGAACCTCATTTCAGCCTTTTGAACCTCATATACTCAGCACCGGGACCACAAGACCCAGGACTGTCCAGCCACTTCCAGGATCAGAATGTAAGCCTGGCTGAAACCAGCAAGTAAACTGCAAAGTTTGAGACTCCCTAGTGCTACAGTCAAACCACAATCCTTGTGTAACCAAAATATCCAGCTCTTCATTATTATATAAACACTTATATACAGACTTATCTTGGCTTTTCCTGCATCTTAGTCCTCCTAATGTATTACCACTAAGATCTCTATCAAGAGAAAGGACATGGAAAAAGGAGTAATATCCAACTTTGGTGTTGCTTGGATTAACAGCAACAACAAAAATACTAATTAATTTCAAGATGGTTAGGAAGAAACTCAGAGTTAATGTTAACAATGAGGTTTGGAATGATCTCCTTTTTTTATACTCTTCCCACTCTCCTAGATAAAGGAAGCAGTATTCATTCTCTAGGCAACAGAATAATTCAAACCTTAATCATAAATCTTAGTCAAATCGATAGGCTACTTTCTATGTAGGAGGACAGTCAACATAAATCTGGATTTGTGTGTCACTTTGATTAAATGAGATTCTGTAGGTAGATAGTACTTTTACATTATCTTTATATTATTTAGATCTAACAAAGGTGCCCAGCTTTTCCAAAAGTTATGGTCAGAAGATTTTGGAAGCCGTTAGAGCCATGAATGTGGAGACATCCTCAGAGAGCTTTCCTTCCTTCTGACGAAGAGAGGCCAAATGTCATTTATAAACCCTATCTGTGGTTTGCTTCTATTCAGGAACGGTGCCCTTTAAGTTAAATGGTTACCTCTGATTCTGGTCCTTGTTTTAAAACTTTTTTTAGATTGATACGTGGCTAGGGGGTAGGAGATAGTACTCTCCTAGCATTGGCAGAGAGTGAGATTTAATCATTCGCAAAGCCTCAGGGGGAAAACACACAAACCAACAGATAAATAAACCACTGCTCCCAAGGAAAACTAAAAATATAAAATCACTCTAAAACTCTTATCCTGTTAGTTAGGCATTAATGTTAAAAGTCACAGCTCCAAGAAACACACATTTTATTTTTTTTAATCTTTGGAAGTTCTAAAAAATAAAATCTCACAGAACCATCTTTTCCTTCCCTACATTCACTTTTGGTTGTATATTCCATTGCACTTTGACTATCAAATATATTCATAGGTGTTTGCAGAACTGGCTTTCAATGAACACCAGAATTGGGTCAGAGTGTTCTGTACCAAAGGGAAAGAGAGAAAGCTTTGATTACCTGTTCTCCTTGACTCCCAATTCCGGGGATGCCCATTAGTCCCTGGGGTCCCACAGGTCCCAAATCCCCCTGTATAGAAAATAAGTCAGAAATATAACAATAAGCCTCATTCTTTCATACTTTGCTAATCTTGAATTATGCTCAATTAAAATCTATACCATAAAAGGGTTCAACATAAAAAGTTAGAAAACTCTATCTCTTTTAAACAGTTTATAGTTCAAGTTTGCCAAAAGAGTGAATGATATTTTCACTGTGTAGTCTAAATTGGTGAATATTTGCACTAGTTTATATTTATCAATCATTTTTCTAACAAGGACCAAAAATTCCTAAATGGTTATTAATGACCCAAACACTTCCTGTTAGGATTACAATAGAAATATTTAAAAGTCTCATATTCACAGGGTCCAAGAAAATCAAGATTTGAGAGAGAAATTGAAATGTTCGAAAATTTTCTAAGTACCTTTTCCTTCCACATCTTGCTAAAATACATTTTAAAAATTAAGAAATTATCTAAGGTAAATGCAACAAAATTAAAGAACCTCACCTTTTCCTTCCATGAAATAAATTCGGGAAACAGAGTGAGAGTTATTAGTAAGAAGAACACTATCATTCATTCATTCTTGGTGTCTTTCAACAAATACTTGTGAGTGCCCATTATGTGCCCTGGATTGTTCCAAACACTGGGGAAGCAACAGTGACCTAAACAGCCAAAAAGCTCTCTCCTCACAGAGCTTACATTTTAGTAGGAAAAACAGAAGATAGTAAACAAGATAAATAGATAAAATAAGTAATATGTTGAATAAGGATAAGTGCTTAACCAACTGAGCCACCGAGGCACCCGAATAAGGATAAGTGCTAAGGAGAAAAATAAATCAAGGAAGGGGGGAGACAACTACAGTTTTGCATGAGGTGGCCAAGGATGGCCTCACCGAAGAGAGAGAAAGAACCAGGTAGAAACACAGGAAAAGTATTCCAAGCAGAGCAAACGCCCAGTGTGAGGATGATGCCTGGCACATCCCAGAACAGCAAAGAGACAAATGAGATGCATATTTTATTTTATTTTTTATTTTTATTTTTTGAAGAAGGCTCCATGCCCCACGTGGGGCTTGAACTCACAATCCTGGGATTAAGAGTCATGTGCTCTACCAACTGAGCTATCCAGGCGTCCCAGACATTTAAATGTCAGTTGTATTTAGGCTCCATCAGGATCCATGAACTTGTTCTTAAATAGCTGGACAGTAAACATTTTGTTCTTGAGGGCCATAGTAAGGTCTCTGTCATCAGTAATGGACGCCGCTTTGGTTGTACCAAAGCAAGCACAGACAATACCTAAATGCACAGATATGCCTGCGTTCTAAAAACACTGTAAGAATAACAGCCAGCCCTATAGTTTGCCAATGCCTGGACTAAATAAGTGTTTTTATGAACAAAACTGTATCGTTGGATCATACTTCACATAATATTAGGGGCGCCTGGGTGTCTCAGTCTGTTAAGTATCCAACTCTTGATCTCAGCTCAGGTCTTGATCTCAGGGTCGTGAGTTCAAGCCCCGCGTTGGGCTCTACGCTGGGTGTGGAACCTGCATAAAAAAAGAAAGAATGCTGATCCTGTCATTAAGACATGCCCTGGAATATGCTTCTTAGTGTTTTACTTTGTGTCAACCCCCATTCTAAATAAATATCTTAGAGGGAAAGATGTAATGGACTCAAGTTCTAGTTCAGAGCTGGATTATTCTGATTCAGAATTGGATTGCTTGTCATGTGGCAGGCACTGTGTTAAATGCTTTTTCATGCTTTATCTCATTTAATCTTCACAAGGACCCTCTGAAAGTAGGCATCCCTATCTTCCAGATGAGGTTAAGTACTTTGCCCCAGTCATACAAACGTTAGATGACAGAGGCAAGATTCAAGTTCACTCTCTCTGACTCCAGAACCCACTCATAACCACTATTCTGCAAATATTCAATGAACACATAAGAAGCATCTTCTTTTGTGCATTAGTATTTACATTTAATTTCTGTATCAAAACCACTTCTTTGTGTTTTACCAATTATATATTTGAGAGCCCTTACCATAGAGGTATTTATCTTATCACTTGAATTACAGACACAAATGTGCTTGAATCTAACATTATAGATAAAAACTATGGTGAGCACTGTGAATCGTGTAAGACTGTTGATTCACAGACCTGTACCTCTGAAACAAATAATACATTATATGTTTAAAAAAAAAAAAAA